GGCCTGTTTGCAGTGTGGGAGGGGGTGGCTTCTCAGGGGCTGAGTTTGCCCTTTTCCCCTCCCCCCTGCCTCCTACCTCCAGCGGGGATGGGCCGGCTCTTCTCTGGAGTTTCTCAGTCCCTTTGTTTTGCGAACCGCTGACAGTGTGTTCCGGCTGGTTAATTTTGTCCCTTGCTATCCCACAGTTTAAAAAAGCTCCCTCCGATTGCTCTCAGGGTCTTCGGGCCGGTCCTTACCCTAAGCAGTGCCGCCTGCTCCTCTCCGTTCAGCCCCCGCTTGCTGCTGGCCGGTACGGGCGTCTGGGGTACTTTTCTGCTGGGAGTTGCTTTTAGGCACGTAATCTGTGGGCCTTGTTTAATTTTTCCTCCCAGTTAGATTGCCGAAAACTTCCCCCAGTCCCACCAGTGCGAGGGTTTCCTGGTGATTGGAAACTGCCTCTATTAAGACTCCCTTCCCGGGAGGGGTCTCCATCCGTAGCTCTTTTGACTCCCTTTTTATCTTTTATATTTTGTCCTACCTCCCTTCGAAGACAGTGGGCTGCTTTTCTGGGCGCCTGAGGTCCTCTGCTAGTGATCAGAAGTTGTTTTGTGAAATTTGCTCAGTGTTCAAATGTTCTTTCGATGAATTTGTAGGGAAGAAAGTGGTCTCTCCGTCCTATTCCTCCGCCATCTTGGCTCCTCCCCTTGGCCATTGTATTTTAAATGGGGCCCTGAGTGCTCACTTCTGCAGCCCATATACTAAAATTGGAACGATACAGAGAAGATTAGCATGGCCCCCGCACAAGGATGACACGCAAATTCGTGAAGCGTTCTATATTTTTAGCTTCCAACTAATAAAAATAAATGGAAAAAAAAATGGGGTCCTGAAATTTTAAGTGGTATGAATGATGGTTCAGTTCTTTATTATTTCCCATGGAGCTGTATTGCTCTCAAAACCCTAAGGAAGTCTGTGGCATTTTTTGGTCCGCCACATCCCTTTTCCCTTTTAGGAATTAATTCTAAATGTTTGCAGTGAGTCTTCTACCAATGAAATTTGAATGAGGTGATCTTTCAGTCCTGTGATTGGTTGGTGAAGAGGAATTTATCTGCTTCAGCTAAAATGAATTCTTTGCTTTGGCAGAACTGTGAAGCAAAGATGGGTATGTCCAGAAATATTGTCATCATAGTAGGTTGGGGTTTTTTTTTTTTTTTTTGAGATATAATATATAAAATATATGTACAATAACTGTGTATATGTATATTTACAGCTTAAAATCCAACAATATAATGGCCATTCATATGCCAACCAACCATCCATCTTTAAAGATAGGAAATTACCAGTGTCTTTCGACTTCTTCCTGTGCCCCTCTGTCTACACAGAGAGAACCACTGCCCAGAATTTTGAAGTTTTTATTCCCTTGTTCTTCTTCAAACTTTTCTTGTAGTTTAACCACATACATATTTATTCTAAAACACTGTAGTTCAGCTTGCCTGTTGTTTGCCTTTTAACGTAAGTAACTATATCAAATACACATATAAATAAATATATAGTTTGTCTAGATGGAGTCTTACTCTATGTATTATTTTGCAAGTTGTTTTGTTCCCTAAGCATTATGTTCATGGGCTGTGTATGGCCGTAGTTTATTTATACTGCTATAGAATATTTCTTTGTGGGAAAATCCCATGTTGGTGGCTAGTTGGGTGGTTTTCAGTATATTGTTGTTGCACACACAGCTGTGAGCATATTTTTGTACATGTGTCATGGTTTATTAAAAGTCTTTCTAGGCTGAGAGTCCTAGTTCATAGGGTCTGCACATCAATTTTACTAGATGACAAGTTTTCTATTTTTGCCAGTCTGTTGCCTTTGAAGTAGTTTTTCACTGTGGGGTGTGTGTATGTGTTGCTTCGTTTTGTTCCTCAATTTTTGTTTTGAAAAAAAAAATTCAGAACTTCAGAACAGTTGCAGAAATAGTGTAATGAATATACCCTTCACTTAGATTCGCCAGTTACCACTTTGCTACATTTGCTTTGTCTGTCTTTTTACACATGCTTGGGCACTCACCCATGTGTATTTTATTTTTCTGAACCATTTGATACTTATAGATATGGCGCTTTCTACCCATATCTAATTCAGCATGTATTTCTAAAGAATATGGTCATTTACTGATAGAATCACAATACCATTATCATGCTCAGGAAAGTTGACATTTAATTGTTTACATAGACTTTATCTAATATGCAGTTCATAGGTAGATTTCCTTAGTTGCCCCAATAATGTACTTTCCTTCAACTATTAATAGCTTTATCACCTAAGTATCTATCCCTGTCTCTTTAGTCTTGCCCACTATTATTTCTGACTTGATATTTCTTTTAAGGCTTTTTTCCCCCTTCTAAGTCACTTTTAATCTACAGTTTCTCCTTCCATCCTCTTATTTTCCTCACTCTGTATCTGTTAAAAGAACCTGGCATGTTGGACCTGTAGAGTTTCCAACAGCTTGGGTTTTACTGATTACACACTTAGGTGCAGTTGAAAGTGTTCCTCTCTTCTCTCAAGATTTCCTGAAGATTGGCTGCTGGGTCCACAAGCTGCCTAATCAAGTTTGTGTTATCGTAGGTCTATGCAGGCACCTAAGTTTTTGTTTCACTTTACCAGTTTGGTGTTAGTGCCTGTTGAGGATCGATACCTAGACTCACTGATTCACTGGGAGTTGGAAAATGG